TTATGAATTGTTGCGGTCCTGACAGATGTGACGATAGCTGGGAACAGGAGGCCTGCCAAGAGCTTTTATCAAGTATGTTATAACAACGAGTAATAAGTGTAAATAATAAATGGCTAGAATCTTCAGGGAAACAGTGGCAATACTAACCAATTTTTGGTACTTGCTGATGGGGGCTTTGCTTACCTTGGAATCCCCCAGCTTCCCAGTAGAGTTTTGGCCTGACAATAAACAACAGTTTAATACTTGATCTAATTGCAGCCAGGAGGTGAGCTCAGCAGTGAGCTTTTGCAGATGTTCACATCCAATAATCTATCCATAATTGATGAAACAGGGAGGTCAGATGTAATGGCTGCTACCATCCCGGCAACAAATAAATGGTTATTGACAAAACAAGCCAGTGTGGGGCTTGAGAGCTGAGCAGCGACAAGCGGGGAAGCAGGAGAAGATGGGAGCAGGGATGAGCCTTCAGCCCTCTCATCTGGAGAATTCCTCCATGAGATGTTTTGGCAGAAGGGCACCTGGGAAGGGACACACACAAGCAGATGGAAGGGACCTGGGAAGGGAAAAACTGAGGTTCCTAAAGCACACAAAAAGCAAGAGGCAGAGAGAGGCTGAGAAGGAGGTGAAGAGAATGTGCCGGACAAGGCTGGAGACTGGGGTAAGTACAAATACAGAAACTGTTCAGAAATACCTTGGCAGGGCGATACTGTGTAGGGATTGCTTTTATCACACTGCTGTGTCTACATGAATATACCTGGCTGTCAAGTAACCACAGCCTTGGAAGACCCTACAATTGGAGCATACGCATAGGCATACTCCAGTGCCCAGAACTTTGTAGGGTAGATTAACTAGCAGTAGTCCATTGGACCCTTAGTAAGGGTTTTATTCCTATATATAAAAATCCATAAAACCGCTTTCAAAAAATATTGAGATTGCAATTGATAAATTGTACATGTAATGTTTGTATAGACAGAAAACTTCTGAAAGATTGGCTCAACTCAAAATCCATACAACAAAGTCAAACTTGCTAAAAAGATATGCCAGTGAAAGAAACTTTTTCATTAAAAAAATCCCAAACATTGCATTCTTTCTCAGTTTTAGCTTTTGCAAAGAGTACAATCAATGTCTTAATGGAAGATACGTTTACTAGCTGAATAAAATCACAGACGTTTAAGCGTAAATAGGCAGCTGAAATCCTATGCGTCCATTTCAGTGCTAAAAGAGGATATTTCCACACAGTTTACTATGCAATATTATAATATGAAAAATGGCAGAGGGAAATGGTAGTTATTATTGCTGTATGTAGTCATAAAGAGGCTTGGGACAGAGATGTTTTAAATATTAATATGACTCAAATCACTTACATCGATTTAACATTCTTTAGTGGTTTATTTAGAGGTGTGATTTATTCTATGCACTGCAATGGATGCTTTTGATCAGCTCTGAAATAACAGATAAGCTAAACATAAAACAGCAAAACTCACTGCTGTTTGCCTTTTACAGTCAGCGTCAGGCTCTTCCGTGCTCGTAGAGAGCTCACAGAAATACTGGCACCATACTATGTATCGTTAAGGTCCTTAGCAATATTTTAATACTTTACTAAAAACAGCAAATTTGTGATCAAACTTTTTATTCCATTTCATTAGATCTTTTCACTGTGCCTACCTGGCACACAGTAGGCACTTAATAAATGCTTGTTGATTGATGAATTGATTCCTATTTCCATGCAACTCCATACCACAAAACAATGATAAATTGTTTGATTTTGATAGCTCAAGAAGGTGACCTGATGGCAAATTCAATCATGCTTATATTATTTATTCAGAAAGTCATGAGGTCATGGATTTAAACATGCAAGGGACCTGGGAGATCATTTAGTCCAATTGCTCCATTTTATAGATGAGAAACAAAATCTCAGCAAAGGGGAAAGGACTTATCCAAGGTCACACAGCTAGGGGGGTAGAAGATCTGGGATTTTAACTAAGGATCTTTGATTCCCGGGACTTTGGGTTCCAAATCTAATATTCTTTCTATTGCACTGAGCTGTCTGCAAAGTCTTCTTTTTTATATCTGCCATTTTATAAACACATAGAAAAAACCAAAACCTCCCACATATATGGTATACTCTTATTGCTTTAAGCTCACTAGGAAAATGAATATGTTTGATTAAATTTGGGGATAATTATAGTTAAATTATCTGCAATGTAATAATAAGGGCCAATGAAGTTTAAAAAAAACCATTCCATTGGGATTTTTATCTCGATGCAATATCCATAAGCACTATTCTCATTAAACTGAGAAGTTAAGTAATCTGTATATAATGAGATTAAGTTAGCTATAACGGAAGAAGAGCCATGATCCTTGTGTGAAACCATCAGGTCATCTTTCTGGAATACTAGTGATGCCATTTAAACCACAGATTGTTCAGTTATTCATGGGAACCATATAGATAACTGAAATCTACATGGAGAGTAGCATAGATCATTATTGTTGTAGTGAGATTTGGACCTTGGAAGTTGGAGCCAGAGAATCTGGGTTCAAATCTCAGTCAAGGCCTTTAATACCTGGATGACTTTCTGCAAATCAGTTTACCAGTCTGCTCCTCAGTTTGCTCATCTGTAAAATAAGGGGTTGGCTTAGATAGTTTCTCAGGTCCCTTCTACCTCTGATCCCTGGGACCCTCCACTTGTCTGGCTGGAGGGTGAAGGGGAGAGCTCCTTCCAAAGCCTCCATTTAAAGATGGCATCCAGGCCAGTCATTTCTTCATTTCTTGCCTAGCTGCATGCCCTCCTCACTGGTTTTGGACTTCTCCATAATGTCCTCCCTCCAGGCACCTTCTTCTCCTCCCCTCTCCCTTTTAGCTCCCTTTTCTCAGTTGTCTTCTCCATTAGATGGTAACTTCCTCAAGGACAGGGCCTTTCTTTTTCTTTGTATTTGTATCCCTTGTGCTTAGAAAAGTGCCTGATATGGGGTGGACATTTAATAAATGTTTTATCGATTGAATGACTGAGTAGCTAAGTATATAATGGTCATCCTCTCATTTCCCCCAATCTTATTTTAAATGTTCTCAATCATCCGATCTTAGGATCGTCAATCTAGAGGAGGAAGTGACCTCATCTAGTCCAATACCTTTATTTTACAAATAAGGAAACTGAGGCCAAGTAAGCTGAAGTGATTTGTCCAAGGTCATACAAGTAGTGAGGATCAGAGACGGGCTTTGAACCCAGCTTTTAAAGCCAGTATTCTTTCCACTCACTATCACCTCTGTGATTCCAAGAAAACAAAATCTCTGATTTTGTCTTGTTTCTTTTCTTTTCTCTACTTAGGGGCTCTCATGAATAGGGAAACACAATATGAGCATTGTATGATGGAAATAACACTGGATTTGGACTCAGAGGCCTGAAGGTCAAATCTTAGTTCAGCTACTAACTGGTATTGGATTTGGAGTCCAAAAAAGACCTAGGTTCATAAACTCTTGCTGTCACTGACAACTGGTGTGATCTTGGGTAAGTCATTTACCTTCTTGGCGCTCAGTTTCCTGATCTGTAAAATGAAGGGGTTGGACTAGATTAACTCCAAGGTTCCTTCTAGTTCTAATTCTGTGATTACATAAACATCCTTTATAGCCTAAGATATAACACTTTGGGATAATTTTTTTCTAAATACACACCTACACTAAATATGGATCTGCCCATCCATCATCAAGAAAAGACCCAAGAAGAAAGCATTTAAGTCTCAACTAAACTCCTATAGGCAGCCTTTCCCAAACCTTAATTCTAGTGCCTTCCCTCCCTTAATTATTTCCCATTTTTCCTGTACATAGCTTGAGATACATACATACATACATACATACATACATACGTGCATAACGTATATTTGTTTGCATGCTGCCTCTCCCATTAGACCATGAGCTCCCGAGGGCAAGGACTGTCTTTTGCCTCTTTCTGAATCCCCACTGCTTAGTATAGTGACTGGCACACAGTAGGCACTTAATAAATGTCTATTGATTAACTGACAGAGTCTGTGACTAGAATCCTGCCCCAGGTTTTTTCCCTGAATTGTGCCTAGTGTTCTTCTCTGCCAAATCTGAAATCCTATCTGATTTATATCTTGGTCTCTACCATCTTTATTTTCTCCTAACTGTTGTAACCAAAGGGTTCTTTGTCACCATATAGTGGAAAGAGTACTAAGGCTTAGAGAGCCTCAGTTCAAATCTCCTCTCAAATATTTACTAGTGATCATGAGTAAGTCACTTACTCTTTTTTTTCCCATTTAGTGGTATTTTGTTTTTTCCAATTACATGTAAAGACAATTTTTAACATTCCTTTTTGCAAAATTTTGAGTTGTAAAATTTTCCCTTCCCCCCTCTCCAAGATAGCAAGCAATCTGATATAGGTTATACGTATTTCCACATTAGTCATGTTAAGTCATTTACTTTTTTTTTCTTTTTGGTGAGGCAACTGGGGTTAAGTGACTTGCCCAGGGTCACACAGCTAGTAAGTGTCAAGTGTCTGAGGCCACATTTGAACTCGGGTCCTCCTGACTCTAGGGCCAGAGCTCTATCCGCTGTGTGACCTAGCTGCCCCATTAATAATGCAAGTGAAATCTAAAGTGTCTCTTGCTCACCTTTTTCTTTTTAGTGAGATAATAGGGGTTAAGTGACTTGCCCAGGGTCACACAGTCAGCAAATGTCAAGTGTCTAAAGGCCGGATTTGAACTCAGGTCCTCCTGACTCCAAGGTCAGAGCTCTATCCACTATGCCACCTAGCTGCCCCAAGTCACTTACTCTTACTAAGTACCTCAGCCTCCTCCTCTGTATAACGAGGCCTGTAATACCTGTACTTTCTACTTCACATCTGTGAATAAATCACATTTTAAGTCTTTTTTAATATTGGTCATAATTATAACTCTCTGATACTCATCTTCCTGTTCCTGATGTTTCTTTGAACTTTCTTCTCTGTTTTGTTCAGTTTTTATAACTTATTTTCTTTCTTTTTTAGATCCAGAAGCATCTGAAATGGCTAATCAATGGCTATGCTCCTATAAGGCCCATACCTGCCTCCTCTATGTGAAGTTTGCCAGTCATGTGAATTTAAAAACAAAACTCAACGATGTTTTAAGTGCAGTCCTACATGAGTAACTGTTTTCTAACTCTATATTCAGTCTATATCCACTGGAGAAATGTAGGTCAGTTCACAATACTTTTAACACGTGCTATCAGCCTAGCAAGGCAGGGGGTATGAGTCCAAGTGATCAGTGGACTTGGAGAACAAGGAGCTTAGCCTCTCAATGTCTTCCTCTGTAACACTATTAGCAACTCATATTTACACACTGACTGGCATAGTTTATAAAGATCTTTCTGTACCATCGTCTTATGAAGTAGGCAGTAAAATGGTTATTATGCCCATTTTACAGATGAGGAAACCAAGTCTCAGAGAATCTCAAAAAATTGAATGTCTAACTAGGACCCTGGATTTTTGAGTCTTCAGTCAAACACTTATTAGCTGTATAACTTGTCCACAGTCAAATAAACAAATGAAAAAAAATGATTAAATGGCATATACCTGGCGCTGTACTAAGCTAATTACATCGTTAGTAAGTGTTTGACCTGGGACTCAAGTACAATGTTCTGACTACAATTCCAGTACCTTTTCCACTACATTACAACATCACCCAAACTATAAAATAAAGGTGACCATAAGATGTTCCCATTCTTTCTTTCTTTTCTTTCCTCCTTCCTTGTTCTTCTTCTTTTCTTCTCCCCTTTCTTCCTTTCTTCCTCCCTCCCTCTCCCTTCCTTCCTTCCTTCCTTCCTTCCTTCCTTCCTTCCTTCCTTCCTTCCTTCCTTCTTTCCTTCCTTTCTACCTTTCTTTCTTTTACTCTCCCTCTTTCTTTGATAAACATCTTTTTTTTTGAGTGAGGCAATCGTGGTTAAGTGACTTGCTCAAGGCCACACAGCTAGTAAGTGTTAAGTTCTGAGGCTGAATTTGAACTCAGGTCCTCCTGACTCCAAGGCCAGAGCTTTATCCACTGCACCACCTAGCTGCCCTGATAAACATTGTATGCTAAGCACTATGCTAGGTATCATGGGAGATAATTATAAGCATGATTCCATAGTCTTATAACGACAATAATCTAACACAGGCTCGCACAACCTGAGGCCCGTGGCATGCCAAAGGATTTTGGGCGGCTCCCAAAACAGGTAGAGGAAAGCATCCACCCGAAATACTTTGGTGGCCCACAGGCCACAGGTTGTGCAGACCTGATCTAACATGAGACCAAGGAAAGGGAAGGGACCCATCCAGGTAAGGATCAGGGCTTGAATTGGACTCAAGTAGCTTCGGATTGCAATCCTTCTGCTCCTTCCACTATTACACACTGCAAAATAAAGGGGTTGGATTTGATGATTTTCATAGATTCGGAGCCAAATTATTATAGGATCATGGAACTGGGAGAAATGCAAAGTTTGGATAAGTTGGTCATTGTTGTTCAGTCGCCTTAGTCATGTCCAACCCTTGTGACCCTATTTGGGGTTTTCTTAGAAAAGATAATGGAGTGTTTTACCATTTCCTTCTCCAGCAAATATCTATGTATGGAGAACTAAATGGATGAAGAATGACTATTGTCAATGTTGTGATGTGCAGTTGGATGGACAACACATGAATTGGTCCATCAGTCCCTACATCTTGGACCCACCCTGCAAATGGCTTTGGTATAGCATTGAACTGGAGGAAGAGACCAGGCTGGAAACTGCGTAGTGCTTTTAATAACCCAAAATTTCTTCCTATAGAAAACCAACCAACCAACCAATGAAGGCTGATCCTTTTAAGGACAATGGTCTTCTGGGGATTCTCTGTAGTTGTAAGTAACAGAACACTATAGTTTTGAAAGAATTAGACTTGAGGGTCATTGGCATGGTGGGTGGGAATAAGTTGAAACACTGTAAATTAAGAATTGTGCACAAGAAATAGTATAATAGAGAGAGGGGCAGCTAGGTGGTACAGCTGATAGACTGCCAGGCCTAAAGTCAGGGAGACTTATCTTCCTGAGTCCAAATCTAGCCTCAGACACTTACTAGCTGTGTTACATTGGGGAAGTCACTTAACCCTGTTTGCTGCAGTTTCTTCATCTGCAAAATGAGCTAGAGAAGGAAACGGCCAACCACTCCAGTGTCTTTGCCAAGAAAGGGGTAACAAAAAGTCAGACATGACTGAAACAACTAAACAACAAAAATATAGAGAGCAGGATAACTGGGGGACAGTCCTTGTGTTCCCATACCTATGCAATGCATCAAGTGAATTCAGTGCGGGCCCTCAGTCTTCTGTATGGACCCCCTTTGTAGATGATTTGTAGGAAAGTGTAGACTAGACTAGAGTCTCAAAGACAAGAAAGCACAAATGGATTGCAATGTGCATTGCCAGAGAAAGAGCCTACATGGATAAGATCAGGGATCCAGCAAGGTATTAGCATCAATGCATTAGAAAACTTATTCTGTGAGGTCTGAATGTCAAATTATTCCCTCAGGGGATCAGGAAAGGCTTAATATGAGTCGTGACATATGATTTGGGACTAAAGGGCAAGCTGAAGTTGATTTTTTTTAACCCAGGTAAAAGATATTATATTTATCACTAATCAATTTCATCTTATCAATTTCAGCCCAGTGTTCTAGCCTGTCAAGGTCTTCTTGGATCCTGATTCTATCATGCGAATGTTAGCCACCCCTTCCGGTTTTGTATTATCTACACATTTGATGAAGAGGTCACCTGTATGAATAACTCAATATTGATAAATATGTTCGATGGCACATGCACTCCAATGGATACCTCCTTACAAGACAGCATCTAATCAATAACTACTACATACCAAATCTGGCCATTTAACTGGTTCTTTCTCTGTCTAAAATCATCATTATCTAGCCTACATCCTTCCATATTGTTCTTAAGAATAGCATGAGAAAATATGTGACCCCTGTAAATGGAATACGGAGCAAAGAGCGCCTCCTAAATTCTCCATTTAAAGAGGCCCCCCCCCCCCCGACCAGCCATCTTTTCATTTCTTACCTGGTACACTACTTTAAACCTCTTCGTTATTCCTTCCCTTTCACCCTCTCTCCCTTTTCAGCTTTATTTTGTCTATTTTTCCCTCATTAGATTCTTCTTCAAATTTGTATCCTCAGCAATCAGCATAATGCCTGGCACATAGTAAGTGCTAAATAAATGTTTATTGATTGGATGATTAAAGTGCATTGCTAACATCTGGATAAACTCACTATAGTTTTCACTTTTCATTCTCTCCCCACCCCCTTTTTAAAATTAGGGCAACATTCATCCTACTCCAATCATTCAGTGTCTCTCATTTTCTTTATGATCTTTGTAAGAAGACTAATAGTAACTTGTAATCAATACAAGTGCCAGTTCTTTCAACTGAAGCCACACATTTAGTTCTAATAGGCCTGGAGACTCAAATTCAGCCGATGTAGCTAGGTGCTTGCTTTCTATAGCCCTAATTTATCTTGTGCATTGCTTTCCTTTTAGATAGTTTTATGCTTTGTTTTCTAGTACAAAGTGTCTTCTTGGCAGAGAAAACAGAAGCAATATAAGAGCTAAATAGCTCTGCCTTTTCTGTAATCAGCTATCATCCCCTGCGCTTTTTGGAAGGCTGATTTCCTTTTTTTTTTGGTTACTCCTCTTTTCCCCAATACAATGACATTGACAATAACCACAACAACAGCCACCTGCCATTTTTGTTTTTCTTGATGGTCTCAGCTCATTCTGGGCCTTGGCACTCCTGAAAGTATTCTCATGGAGCCAATGCTTCTAACTTTCATATGTGTCTTTTAAAATTGTAATTTCCCCTATAATTCCTCATCAGAACTGATTCTCTGTGTTTTCAGGATTTCATTCTTGAGAGTTTCCCATTACTCCTACACTGTTTCCTCATACCATTTTAGTTCATGGGATCCTAGCTCTTGCTTTTCTGAACCTTTTGGAATCTGCTCTTCCCAATATTAGGGTATATGCTGCACTATGGTGAGTTTTCCTCTGATCTCCAAAATAGTCTAACTCTAAGATGAAGTAGTTATTTTCCTATAAGGTTCATTTCCATAATTTCAACTCTAGCTACTAGTTTCTCCTTGGAAGTAAGAATTGCATTTTTAGATAAAAGTTTTCCTTGTTGGTGCTGCCACCCTTCAAGAGATAAAACCATTATTAATGCAAGTCAAAAAATTATTAGCTCTTCTCCTCATGTTCCTCCTCCTCCTCCTCCTCCTCCTCCTCCTCCTCCTCTTCCTTCTCCTCCTCCTCCTCCTCCTCCTCCTCCTCTCCTTCTTCTTCTTCTTCTTCTTCTTTCTTCTTCTTCTTCTTCTTCTTCTTCTTCTTCTTCTTCTTCTTCTTCTTCTTCTTCTTCTTCTTCTTCTTCTTCTTCTTCTTCCTGCAGATGTCTGAATAAATGAAGTCACTTACCTATGAGAAATATAACATGCCTCTGTGCTAGGCTCATAATCTGTTTCCTAAATTGCTTATCTATTTCCTCTTTCTATTCAGGTGGTTTTGTAGTATCCTCTGATGATAATATCTTTTCTGTTTTTGCTTACATTGACCTTCATCCAAGTGCTCTTCACCATGCTTCCTCCCTCCAACTCATGGATCTTCTCAAATGACTATATCTTAGAATCACGAGATCCTAGATTTAGAGCTGGATGGAACTTAGAAGTTCCATCAAGTCAAACTCCTTCACTCTACAGATGAGGAAACTAAGGCCCTGAAAGATTAAGTGAATTGTCTAGAGTCATATAGTTAGTTAAGTGTGGCAGGACTTGAATCAAGGTCTTCGTGATTGCTGCAAACACTCTCCAGCTTCCATCTTATATTTCTTCTGTTCCTTTTGAATAAAGTCTATATTTCCAATTCTGAGTCCCACCCCACTACATTTCAATGACATGAATGAGGTTTCCTTGAATGCTTGCGGTGCATGTTGTGTGTAGACATCTGAGGCCATGACTTTTAAGGCTAGTACCTTTCAGCTATTACCTTCCAAAATCTACCCTTTCCTTCTGCTCATCTCTTGCCTTTGACCAGCAGTAGTAATAAAAACAACACCTGTGGCAGGAAGGTATTCAGTGTCTTACCCAAGATTTATCTTCAGCAATTCTTTTCAACAAATTTGAGTACTGGTGATGCAGCATGGTACAATGTAAACAACATTGGATTTGGAGTTAGAAGAGCTGGGTTTAAGTCTAGGCTTTACCTGCATGGCCCTGGGCAAATTTCTCATTTATAAAATGTGTTCCCTTTGGGCTATAAAAAATCAAAGATCTCAACCTATGATCTATGATCATATGTTCTATATGAAGTCAGAGATACAGATTGGGAGAGCAGATGAGAGGCTTGGGCTAGAAATATGGATTTTGGATTTATCTACAAAGAGTCTCTAGTTGAAGTCACAGAAAGAAATAACATTACTACAAGAAATTGTAGACAGAGAAAAAAGAAAAAGCCAAAGACAGAATCTTGGGCAACTATCATTTTCAGGTCAGTAAAGTCCATGAGGAATCAGCAAAAGGGTTAGAGAGAAGGCAGTTAGATTGGGGGTTCCCTATACCCCTTATCTTTTTATTCCTCTACCTCTTATTTACTATGAAAGGAAATATATTCGAGATTTTACCATGCATATGCAATAAGATATAAAATAAAGAGATTAATTGATTTTTCTTCTCCAAGGGTACTCCAAAAATTCTGTAACTTTGTTGACTGCAAGTCAATATGAAATTTCTTGCATTTTCAATATCATGGTATAATTCTTTGCCAAATTTTTCCTGTATTTTTGACAAGCATCTCATAACCCTGCATGTACATATACCTGGATTGGGAACTTTTAATTTAAATAGTTAGAAAGAGATCTAGGGGAATAGGATGTCTTTAAATAGCTTTCATTTATGTTTGAACAAAACCTTCTTCCCACTCTTCACCATGGCGTGGGGATGACCTTGGGTTTTCCAAGACCATGCCAATGATATAAAAGCCCTTCAAGGTTATACCAAGTCGGAAAGGCTAAAGATTATGTGCTTGCCTCTAGATCAGTCCATAATAGTACATTAAATTACTATACCAAAAATACAGGCCAATAACAAAAAGTAATGCAAATATAGTATCTCACTGTTGTATTAATGAAAAAGCATTATGTTTCATGAGGTTGGTGCTCCAGGAAGACTTTGCAGGCCTTCTTTCCATATAATATGGTTTGAGAGCTGCTAGAGATGTCTTGGCTCAGTGTTTCATAGTCCAGCCTTAGAGACTTATTCCTATACAACAGAGTTCTGTATCTCCCAGAGGTCTCTGTTAAAATTTAAATATCCTTGGTACTTCATTAACTCATTAAACCATCATCAATCATTAATACCTCAAGGGACATTAATTTACCATATTACTTTGCTAGCTGATAGGAAACACAGGACAGGTATATGTAGGGGAGGATGGAAGGAATGGCTCAGGGTGTCAGGGAGCAAATGACTCTAATACTGCTTCTACTCTTGGGCAATGTTTCAGGAAGGATTTGTCAAACAGGAAGAGACAAACTGAGTTTGGGGCACATTGGGGGCAGCTAGATAGCACAGCTAGGTAGCACAGATCACCGAACCTGGAGTCAGGAAATGAGGAAGACCTGAGTTCAAATTCAGCCTCAGACTCATAATAGCTGTGTGACTCTGGACAAGTCACTTAACCCTGTTTGCCTCAGTTTCCTCATCTGTAAAATGAGCTGGAGAAGGAAATGCAAACTACTCTAGTATCTTTGCCAAGAAAACTCCAAATGGAGTCATGAAGAGTCAGATGTGACTGAAACAACTGAACAAAATGTTCTATAGGTAATGTCATCAACTTGGTTTCTATATCAAGTACTTTTATAGCCTTGGGCAGACACATTTAGTGGTAAGCCACATATGGTGATGAAAGATGAAAAGTCCACCCTCCAAACATCTGATTGAGATGACTGACTGACTAAAAGCCTCAAAAGGGCCACAAAAAGGTTTACCGAAGAAATAGACAACCAATACACTCCAATACCATCTTTGCTGTATCAGTGTAGAAGACTGAAGAGTACAACCCTATCTAACTCACACTCAGTAGTGCTGGAGAATATATAATGGTGATGCTCTAGGCTGGGCCTGACTCTGGCCAGTCCCCCGGCAGTTTCATTTCAATACTGGAACAAAATGAGACACTGTTGGTCATTCAATGGTTAACAAAATAAGATTTACTAAGCTGTAGCAGAAGGATCTTCACCAAGGATAGGCACTGAGGATACCTAGTGTTTTCATCTAGTGAAGTTCCCTTGCCTGAACTGCCCATCATGATATACCAATTAAGCATCCTAGAGGGCCCATCAGCCTCCTCATGGCTATACTCAGGTGACAAGGAAGGGATGTTAACAGCCTAAGCTTTTAATCCCCTGAGCCAACCAAATCTTGAGGATGGTTTCAATTTCTTTTAAGGAAAAACTAGCCTAACTGACTTGAGGAGAAGAGATTAGGATGAGGTTAGAATCCTACCCATAGATGATAGCCTAGTTTGCCCCCCAAAAAACACCAACTATTGGGTCTCCTATTATAAATTGTCAGGTGGAATTAGCCCCATCATGAGTTTTGCAATACTGTTTGTGATAATGCCAGCTGACTCCCCCAAACCTCCATTGTAGGTGAAGGATCCAGAATTATT